GGGGGGGGGGGGGGGGGGGGGGGGGAGAACGGGCATGAGCGGCGAGCTGCCAGCCCCTGCCCTGTGCTAGCTGGTGCCAAGGCAGCCGTGGAAGGGAGATCTTCCCAGGATGACCGGGGGGGAGGGGGGGGAGGAAGAGAAGAGCCAGCTAGTCACTGGGTGGGGGGGCAGCTGCTAGTGGGGGAGGGTCAGCCAGCCATTCGGTAGGAGGAAGTGGGGTGTCTGCCATCGTCCAGCAGCCCCCACCCAACCCAGGCTGGATCCCCCGGGCGAGGGCAAACCCCACCAGCACACAAGGTGTTTGGGCACGAGGGAAGTCTGTGCCCAATGGGGAGGGGGCATTGGGCCTGGCACGCCCCAGGGGCGATGGGGGTGGGCACCAGCCCTTCCCCAGGTCACGCGCATGCCCCCAGCCTCACCTTGGGCAGGTAGTGGAAGAGGGGTCCGAGCCACATGAGGACCATGAGCACCACCGCGCTGGAGAAGAAGCCGGCGAGCTGCAGAAGAGGAGGGCGGGTTAGCGGGCAGGCTCCGCCCGGGCGGTGAGGCCAGCGCTGGGCCCTGCGGGGGGGGGCAGCACGGAGGAAGCCCTAGACCCCAGAGAAGCCCCCCACCCTTCATGCCCCACTCGAGGCCTCAGTGCCAGCCTCCTCTGCCCGGCGTCTGCAGAGGAGAGGGCTCCGATTGTGCCCAGCCACACAGGCCAACTGGCCACCAAGCTGAGACCTGGCAAACTCATTGCATGAGCCAGCCAGGGCTGCAGGGAGGAATGGGGGGACCCCCACTAGCTAGGGAGCATGAGAAACTCACCCTCCAGACACACCCCATGGCCCCACCCCCAGTTCTGCAGGGCCCCCCCCCCCGTGCCCCCATACCTGCGTGTGCCCCCCCGCGCTCTCCAGGATGTTGGTGGTCGCCAGGGTGGCCGAGCTCGGGAAGCAGGTGAAGAGGGAGGAGACCAGGTTGGAAACACCGTGGGCCAGCAACTCCTGTGGCCGGGGGGGGACAGAGACAGGTCAGGGCTACAGGGACCAGCCAGGAGGGAGCCCAGATGCACCGGGGGCAGGTGAGACACTGGGGCCTTCCAGCTGGAAGAGGGGCCAGATGGGCGGGAGGGGGCCCCGATCCTGGGCAGCCGCTGGCAACAGAGAGGCCAGGCCAGGCCGGGCAGTGCCCCCTGCCAGCAGCCCGAGTCCGGCCCACACACCTGGTTGGGGTTGATGGTATAGCCGTGCTTCTCGGCGTAGATCATGGCCAGCGACACAGAGACGGCATAGGCCACGAAAGCGATGGCCACCGTGTCCCCCAGCACCTGGGGCAGCGACTGCAGGGCCGGGAGCTGGGGCTGCGGGAACCTGCGTGAGAGACAGAGGCGGTCACCAGGCCGGGTGGGGCGAGAGGGGCTGCGCTGGTCCAATCCCCGTAGGATGCAGCCTTGGGGTACACTGAGGTTGCCCCCGTGTGAGGTCACAGAGGGGGTGGGCAGGGGGCCCTGGGGACTCCTTACCCAGCTGGCAGGTGGCCAACTATCTGCACGTCGTAGCGCGTGTCCAGGGAGGAGGCAAAGCAGACGCCGGTGGCCGCCAGCACCTGGGGAGAGAGCAGAGGACCGGCGGGTTATGCCGCCCAGGGTGGTGCCAACCCTCCCATGCCCACGGCCTGTCACCCACCCCCGCTCCCCCAACCTCCGACTCTTCCCCGCGCTGCTCAGAGGACCTGGCTGCAGGTGCAGGGCCGGGGGAGCCCCGGGCAGAGGAGGTGGCGCAGGGGACGGGCAGATCTGGGCAGGGCAGGGGTACGTACCACCACGATCTCCCCTGGAATGGGCGTCCGCAGCTTGCTCCGGAAGCGGCTGTTGATCTCCTTGATGGGCACCAGCAGGGCCAGGCACAGGGCGGAGATGAGCAGCTCGGCCACGTTGGTCCGGGGCAGCGCCCGTGCCACCGATGCCAGCGTCTGGGGGCAGCACAGGGCGCGTTACGCAGCGGGGGGGGGCCTGCTCCCGGCTCCCCTCCCCCACCATTCCGCCTCCCTGCCCCCTTTCTCTCGCCACCGCCCCACGCTCTCCTCACCCCCCCCGCCCGGGGCTGGACGCACCTTGAAGATGGTGAAGGAGCCGGTGGGGCGGGGCAGTGCCAGGCCCAGCAAGCTGGGCAGCTGGGAGACCAGGACATGCAGGGCGGCCCCGTTGGTGAAGGCCTTGACAATGGGCTCCGAGAGGTAGGTGGCCAGGAAGCCCAGCTGCACCACGAACATCACCAGCTGGGGGGCAGGGGGAGGGACGTCAGCGGTGCCCGGTGCAGAGCA